GAGAGGGACAGAGAGAGAGAGAGAGAGAGAGAGAGAGGGGGGGGAAGAGAGAAAGAGACAGAGACAGAGAGAGAGACACACAGACAGACAGAGACAGACAGACAGACAGACAGACATACAGACAGAGACAGACAGACACACAGACAGACTGACACACAGACAGACAGACAGACACACAGACAGACACACAGTTCGTTCTAGAAGTGTTCATTTCTTCTTTCTCCAGCCTCATTTGTCGAGGTGGATACCTTTTAGTCATTAGGAAAGAAAAAGGTTCCTGTTGTTTCAGCTGCCATTGACTCACCTGCTCCTGTTGCCACGTCTGTGGTATTGACCATGTGCCCTGTGGCATACTTAATGGTTCTGTAACCAGTTGTAAATCTTGGCAAATTTGCATTCGGCAGCGAGATCGACTTTCGTTCACCGTCTGTATAATGGGCCTCTGGTGAAATCTGTCTGTGCTAAAAGAGCCACCAAAGTCAAAGACACAGGAATAACGGCCAAACAGGGCCAGGAGCGGAGCCGTCGCCATTAGCAAACTGTACAGACATTTTGGCGAGCGCTCGGAGGTGGAATTGATTGATATATTTCTCTGCAATTGTTCTTCTCTTTAATGAGGGAAGCAGTTGGATTTTTTTTCCGGGGGGGGAGTACCTGTCTGGAGGGAAGAGATCGGGAATTAGTGAATTGATTTTTTTAAACAGACAAGGTCAAAACTGTCGTGGTCTGAGAAGACAACCCCTCAACCCCTTATCTATCGAAGACAATGTTTGTGCTGTAGAAAACAGCTGTGTTATAGGAGACAATACATATACTGTGGAAGACTATATCTGTGCTATAGGAGACAATGTCTATACTGTGGAAGACAATATCTGCGCTATAAAAGACAGTATCTGTTCTTTCGCAGACAATATTTTATCTCAATAACTGTGCTCAAGATCCGTGCCACAGAATCAATGCTTGTGCAGTCTCGATAAATTAATCTTGCCCTCTCTGTATAGAACACAATGTCAGTTCCTTAAAAGAGAAAATCTGTGTAATAAACAATAATATTATATGTGCTATAAAAACAATATTATTATATGTCCTATTGGAAGCGGTGCCTCTGCTATCGAGTTTAATAGCTCTGCTTATCATCACCCGGTGCCTTGCCGACTGGCGTGGGCGATCATGGACCTCCACTTCACTCTGTCTTGCGTTGCAGCGATGGTGTTTGTCGTTCTTGCTGTTCCCAGCCATGTTGTCATCTTGTCCAGTATCTTTTTCCTCTGTCTGCCCCTCTTTCCATTCCATCAAACTTGTCTGTTGTTACAATATTCTCCAATGCTTCTTTCCGCAGTGTCTGTCTAATGAAATTTGCCTTTTGCTTTCGTCTTATTATTTATCATATACTGTCGTCTGAAATTTGCTTCAACCAAGACTTCTTCATTTGTTTTTCTAGCTGTGCTACAGAGACAATATATTTCCTGTAGAAGAAATTATCTGTGATAAAGAAAACAATACCACTTCTACAAAGGATAATATCTGCTCTTTTAGAGAAGATATCTGTTATTTAGAAGACAAAATCTTTTCCATAAAAGATCATATCTCTAAAGAACACAATATCAGTTTATAAAAGATAACAGTTTTCTGTAGAACTCAGCGACCATGCTTTAGAATTGATTATTTGTTCCATAAAAGACGGTATAATCTCTTCTATGATCGTTCGCTTTTTTTTTTCTGGCTTGACATTGTACACAAAGTTAACGGGGAATAATTCCGACTGTATTGTCGGTATGGCTTAAGATATTTCCCGCTTGAATTGTAACGATGTTTTTGTTTCCCGGGGGTTTCGCTGTTCACTGTTCACCCACCGCTCAATCTTCTGTCTGTGAGTGAGAGTGAGAGTGAGAGTGTGAGAGAAAGTGAGAGTGAGAGTGAGACGGTTTGCCTGGCTTGGGCTGGAGGCAGACACCGATCACTCTTCATTACTTCGCGCTTGTTTAAATGATTGATTATCGAACCGGCTTAATGTGTACTGTATGGGCGCGCACGGAATGTCTTGGTTGTTTTATTTTTTGTACAGGAGTTTGTAGAAAGCAGGCAGGGAAGAGGGAGAGGGGGGAGGGAGAGAGAGAGAGAGAGAGAGAGAGAGA